CACACACCCAGGTTCCCCATGGGGGTGGACATTTGTAGCTTTCAAACCTCAAAGACACTGAAAGAACCAGAAAGTTCCTGTTAGTGGTTGGTCATTCAAAGCCACTGTCCTCAACGGACAGCCCTTCGGAGTAACTAAAGCCCTGGAAGAGAAGGCTGACTTTACTGTGGAGCCTTCCCAACCTCACCTGAGCCAGAGAGAAGGCTTCCAGAAAAGGAATCTGGAACATAGGGCAAGGGAGGTGTCAAGAGGGAACAGAGGATCATTTCAGGGGTCGTGGGAACTCCAGTCCACAATCCCACTCTCTGTCACTAACACCCACTGTGGAAGCAGCTGCAGACCTGTTCCTGAGCTCCTCCTCCAGAGGGACAGGCAGTGGCTCCCAGGCTAGGCCCTCTCAGGCCCTCATTTGGGATTCCTGTTTACAATACAGCCAGCCAAGCCAGCCTGGAGACCGCTGGGCCTAAATCTCTGCAGTGGGTCTGAGAAGTCTGCTCTCTTGGCTCTGGATCTGGAGGATCCTTAGGTTTGGGATTCTGAATGGAGTCTCCTCTCCCTTTTCACTCTTAGGGAGGAAGAGGGAGATGTTCCTAATGCTCTGTTATTTGAGTTGAGATATTGTCATTCTTGACAACTCTCTAAATGTTACAATCGACCACATCAGGTAGAAATCCAAGGGCTAAGAAACATGCACATATGCACATGTGTGCGTGCACACGCACACACACACATGGGCCCACTGGACCCAGGGATCCATCTCAGCAGGTTGTTAGGAAACCAGGACCCACAATCTGGAAGGGACACTAAGTCCTCAGATACAGCCACAGCAGCTCTTGGCCCATGGTCTGGTGGCCAAGGAGGGGTCAGTGCTGGTCACAGGTGGCGGGCTGCTTCCCAGAGGATCTGCAGAGCCATAGAGACACAGGGGAGCTGGGCCAGGGTGTAGGAGACGGAGTGGATGGGCGCTCGCAGCTTCCTCAGGTAGGCTACCGTGTGTACCATATGGCCCAGGAGGACTATCAGGAAGTGCATCCAGGCGACGAAAGGGTCAGGATCCAGGAAGGAGTAGACAAGGCCCAGGAAGAGGAAGGGATAGATGGTCTCCACGTCATGCCGGTGGGCTCTGAGGCAGCACTCCACGTCCCGGTCAGTCCGGCAATACTGGAGGCCTCCGTGTCTCAGGGCATCCTCCGGGTTGGCAAAAGCCTTCTTCCATAGCCTCACTTGCCCTGTGATGATGGCCACCACGTACATCTTGATGACCAG